CTGAGCCAGCAAGGAGGCCCACGGAGGGTGGAAGGCAATTGAGGAACGGATTCAGGGCTGCTGATAGGCTGGGGAAGGTGGGGATTCCTGGTCACTGTGGAGAGAGGTGGGGCAGAAAACTAGTTTGAGTGTTTCTGCTTCAAAGGGGAGCGGAAAAAAGGGGCGGTAGCTCAAGAAGGGTGTATGATTATGAGGCCGTGAGGTCTTTTTTTTCATTAAAGATGGGATTTTAGTATCAACGGGGTGTTCTATAAGACAGGGCAAATAATGATGCAGGGCAGAGAGAAAATAATGAGTAACGTTATTCATTCTTGCACTGGCCCTATGCAGTAGACACTATTTTGCAGACAAACCCAGGCAAAGAACAGTTCAGTCACTTGCCCAGGGTCACAGAGCTAATGGGTAGCAGGGCCAGGAGTTGAAGGCTCATGGCTTAGTTCTTAAAGGCCCTGCCCTGGCTGCTGTGCCTCTCAGCTTCTTGGTTCCTACCTGGAGTGGTCAGCTCCTCCACAGTGAGGCTTCCTGTTACAGTTTTTGTGCAACACAGCATCCAGCAGAGGACCGTGCAGGGGTGGGATTTAGAGCTCCAGTGCTGCGCATGCTCGGTTGTCACCCGGAGCCTGCATGGGAGGGAAGCCAGGCCTCCACCGGCCTCATTCCACCCCCACCCCAGGTGGCAAGGCCTTGCAGCCTTCGGGAGGGTGGATGAAGTGTGGGTGGAGGGGCTGATGCTCATCACAAGCCACAATCTGATGGTTTTCCCTGGTGTGCCTGGTGCTGGGTGACTGGGTTCCTGCTCGGGTTTGCTGCCCATGTGCCGGGTGACATTTCCTCATCTGTAAAGAGTTTGGTTGGATGATCTCCCACGGGCTCCCACCGGGTGTCTCAGGAGGATGTGCTGAGGGGCTTCTTCCTCTAGGGCAGAGGCAGACGGTCAGGTCGTCCCAGCGCCATGTGTCTCCTGAGACTTATGGGGAGGGGCAGCCACACCAGGGGGAGCATACAGTTCCTGGGGACACTGTTGGATGCCCAACACATTCTGCTTCGTGGGCAGGGGCAAAAACCCGAGGGCATGGCACTAATGCCAGAGTCTCAGCACATCTGCCCTGCCCTTGGCTATGTGTTCAGCCCAGGTTTGGCTTTGGGGTAGCCTTGACTTCAGCTTGCAGGACTCCCAGCTCTGGGATTCTTTTTTGGGTGTTTGGAGCAGTCACCCCACTCTGGATGCAGGGGGTGGGCGTTTGAAGCGTCTCAGGGTGGTTTCCATGGCCACGGGGGTGGGGGTGAGGATGGTGGTTGTCGTACTGCTCCTGCCCTGACTGCTGAAGCCCCCTGAGTGTGCACTGTCCCACCTGTTCCACCGCAAATGCTCCCTGACTGGGCTCAGATGTGCTGCTCCTTGAGCCAGGCATGTTGTTTCCTACATTCATAAATAGGGTCAGGCACAACCAGTTGCTTGTCTCTAGGCTTTTGAAGTAAGTTTAAGATGAGAATCTTTGGATTAGCAGTCACCAGCCTATCAGCCCTTTACATGTGCTGCTCACCCCATGCCTGGTGCTGTCCTGAGTGCTTTTCTTTCTTTCTTTCTTTCTTTCTTTCTTTCTTTTTTTTTTTGCAGTACCAGGGATGGAATTCAGGGCCATTGCACTGAGCTACATCCCCAGTCTTCAAAACAAAATTAAGAAAAATATTTTGAGATGACATCTTGCTGTGTCACTAAGTTGCCCAGACTGGGCCCAGACTAGTAATCTTCCTGCCTCAGCCTTCCAGAGTTCTGGGATTCCAGATGTGCAGCCTGACTGTTCCCGCATTCTCTTTGGGCCCGCCTACTAACTCTTTCAATCTTTATTGCAGCCTTGGGGGTCAGCCTTGGGACGTGATCCCCATTTCACAGATGAGGAGCTGCAGCAAAGAGCAAGCGCGCGAGAGCACA